TATGAACATGATCAAATTGATATTGAATGAACGCCGTTGTGCTTATTTACCACCCTATAAAGAAATCGCTACTAATCAATGGTCCGAGTTGGAATGGAAACAGGAACACACTCAACCTGAATTGTTCCTCAAACATAGTGTTAGAACTAATTCCATTAGAATCCTAAAAGCCTTTGTTCACAGGATGCGATGGTTATTTCAAATAAAAGATAAATCATTGGTGTTGGGAACACATCTAGTGGAAACCTATCCCAACTATACGCGACCCGCAAGTGAACTCAGTAATAATAGTTCCTATCACCTTGATGGAGAATGGCTTTACCTGAATGCCTTCAATGATTGGCGATTTGTAAAACTCAACACAGTTTTTTCAAGAAATTGTCAACCTTTACCTGAGACCGTTGTTTGTGTATTCGAGTTTGACCAAAAGTGCGATGGTGGGAGATTCGGTCACGCAGATTCTTGGAGAAGTCTACTATGTCCCAAATGGATTACAAACCTCTTACTTTGAACCCAAGATGGTCAAAGTATTATCACTGTCCACTTCAAACAAGTCCCTACCACGAAACAAACACTGTAAAACCAAACCAGAAATGTAAACAACATACATTTTTATTAAGGTTAAAACAATTACAACTTGAGACGTTTTTTCCCTTGTGTGATTTTTTTCACTGTTCAATGGACCGGATCATGTCTTCATCCGTTCTCCACTTATCCTGTAAATTTTTTTGCGTAACTATACGCGATATCGTGCTGCTTTGCAATTCGATCAAATCTGTTCTTGCCTGGATCCTTTCTAGCAAGTCTCTTCTCTAACCTAGTGCCAGGCCCAGCTTATTGTTATGATGGAATATGCAACTCGATCGCAGTCTCGCTCAAAGCTTTCTGAATATCAAATTTCCCACCTCGCTGGCGCCTCCTCCTTCTCCGTGTTTGTTTGCGCGGTTTTTTGCCGGTCTTTGCCATTGAGTTTTCGCTTCACAGGCGTCCCAAATGATTTCCAACGAGGTGCGGGTTCTAACTTTTTCAAAATTCCCTTTTTGACATGTTTAGCTCCTTCTTTGACTAACGCTTTACGTGTTTGTCTTCTGATTTTTCGAATGGTATCTCTGGCTGATTCAGCACCCGTATGCCAAAGAGACTGACCCACTGTATGCGAAAATGGTAGCTCAGTGGCCAATTCTTCTGAGGACTTCTCAGGTGTCTTGAAGTAGGAGGGAGATTTTTTTTAGACTTGACTTTTATAGAGGTGTCTTGGGCAATGATCGTTTTCATTTTGACCCAGTTTTAAAAGAAAACTTGGGTTTTTTACTACTTGATGGGGTGACTGTTTGATAGAGAGGTCAGGTGTCTTTGGAGTGATAGGTGTTGAAGGTTGTAGAGGTCTTTTTATACCTTTTTGAATCTTGGTTAGCTTGGTAATCATTTGATGGTTAGGTCCTACCGCTAAATTATCTCCTTCTTCATCGGACTGCTCCTCCTCATACTCTCCACTACCTATCGCACGCGTGCCTCCTGGTTGTCACACTTTTTTAGTCAATTGACGTAATTGTCGCCCCACGGCTTTTAATCGTGGTTCTTTTCATGTATCGGGTGCTTTACTGCTAAACAGGACATGTTTTTGAGTTGCTAAATCTGCTGCTTTGGTTAAAAGACTATCATCCAAGAGTGGTGATTTGTATTGATCACGCAAACGTAAAAATCGGACTAAATCTGTGACAGGAGTGCTGCTTAATCCATCCATACTGATACACTAATGTCTATATCATCCTAAAAAACAGGTACTTATACTTTTCGTTGAAAGAGGGAACGAAACTTTTGTTTCAGTTTTTGTTGTAGTTCTTTCGACATGTCAGCCAATGATAAAATGCCTAGGACCACACAAAGTAAACGATCAAGCAGTGCTTGTCTCCTCATCCTGTTTTCTAGTAACGATACTGTGTTTGACCACAGTGATACCAACGACGCAATTCTTGCCACGCACTACCCCTTAACTAGTGCATCATAAGACCACGTCGCCTTTTTATACTTTGTCGTGGGTTGGCAGTGACTCGGAGTTGTTTTGGCATGAGGTTTGAATCTTCTTAGAGTCTGTCTTCCTTTGGGTACAGCTCCTCGTAAAGTATTCATAAGTAATTCACACACCGCATTAATTTGATCTGTATTCGCATGCCGTAATTGTTGTTGGCGTTTATATAAATTCGCTTCATTCAACACACTTTTTAAAAAAGTCGCTTGACGTGACATTTGCCCTGTCATCTTGAATAAGATTTAACGGACTGATCGTGTGCGTTTATTTTCATATTTGAGCTGACGTTTAGCAGCAGTGCGTGATGCAGCATCCGAAGCTTTTTTCGTACCATAAGTAGCCGCTGCACTCAATCCTCCTAAAGTTGCAGCTTTTCCCCCTACAGTTAAAGCAGGGACAGCCGTGGCTACTCCCGCTTTGCGCCGTCTAGATTTCCCGTAAGCAGGTCTTATTCTTATGGTTCATCAATAAATGTTAACGTTTTAATGGAGTGTCTATTCATATCTTCATCAAAGGTATGCACTTGTGGTTTCCCTTCTCGTTTGGTTAAATGACTCCAAATAAAAAACCGATCATCTGAGGCAGGATGTAAATCCAGCATGAAATACCCAAAAGGGCGAGAAGTAAGTCTTAAAAATAATAATTTGAGGACTTTGCGCCATTTCTCAGGATACACTTGAAGAAGTAAATTACGAATTCTTGTTTTATCGCGTGGACATTTGAAGCAAATCACAAAATGCGCATTACAATTAATGGTTTTGGCATATTTTCCGGGTGGAAATACATCTTGGGATTAAGTATATGGCTGTAATGCTACGACGATGAGAATCTTTGGTAAATAAATCCAACACACGTTTATCATTACCACCTCCTGCGCAACGTCGCTAAAATTAGGAAACATATATCGTTTACTCATTGAAATGTTTTAATACATACATTTATTACGTCAAAACTGGACTACTGTAACTCTCTCTTATCTGGGCTTCGCCAGGATCATATTAACAAACTTCAGCTAGTGCAAAATTTTGCCGCACGTCTTTTGACTGGTACTAGGAAACATGAGCATATTTCACCCATCTAAAGGTCTCTTCATTGGTTGGCTATTCCGGAAAGAATTTACTTTAAACTTTTACTTCTTACATTTAAATCACTTAATGATGTAGCACCGCTTTATATGGAAGAACTGTTAGTTCGTTATAGACCAACAAGAACTCTGCGCTCTGCAGATAAAGGACGCTTAGTACAAACTAAATACAAGCTTCAAACCCATGGTTACAGAGCTTTTTCACAGGCAGCTCCTAAGATATGGAATTCCCTGCCAGTCAGTATACGCGCATGTTGAGAGCTGGACGTTTTCAAATCAAAAATCAAAACATTTTTTTTAAGCGTGCTTTTCAGCTGTAATTATATTTTATTTTTTATTTATTATGTATTTATCATTATTTATATTTTTATTTTTACTCTTTATTTTTTGACAAATAAGTCGTTGTAATATTTTATTAGGTTTATTACTATTAGTACTAATTGTAAAGCGCTTTGGATCACAAAGAGAAAGGCACTATATAAATGTATATATTGTTATTATTATGAGATCATCCAAGACTAATATACCATGATCTTGGGGTTCAAACCATTTGGCTAAGGCTCCTTCTGGAGGTAATCCTTTGTGAAATTTGACTTTGGATTGCTTTTTCATGCGATCAGGTCTTGGTTGCCATCGATCAGAGCAATACACTATCTTTTTTGGAGGGGGGTAAAACAGTTTTTTATCTTTAAAGAGTTGTTATACCAGTTCACTTTTTCCACTGCCCGAGGGACCAGCCACAATCACGCTACACAGTTGTAGAATCATTTTCTTCCACGTCTATAATGTTGCACATCGTCTTTTATACCCTTAAAAGCTTGTTTCGCTAAAAACGCACCGGCTGTCACAGAACTAGATGCAAGACCTGATAAACCTATCGCAACCCCTTCAGCAATTTTATCAATCAAGTGTGGTTTTCGTCGAAATCTAGCCCCTTCCCGTTGCCGTTTTCTCCTTCGGGACACACGTCTTCTTCTACCCATATCTCTGCATATAAGCGCGGTGAAGAAATTTCAACTCAACCCATTGTTTTTGTTTGGCTAAAGGTACGACTTGTTTCCAATGAAGACCATCCCATGGAATTTCACAAAAATATTTCCAATGGATGATGTATAAAATACAGAATTTCAGCCCTAGCTAAAATATCATTACCTCTAGTTATCATGATAACAAATGACATACACTGAGATAGGAACATGACTTTTATTGAACAGCCTGACGTAAACAAAAGGCCTGATGGCTCACATTGCTTTGAGAACTACTTAAGTCTAACAATTCTTCTTTAATCAAACGTTTTAACTCATCTATCATTTGACACTAAATTTTGCTTGTTCCATTGCGCTAAAAAATCTTGAAATGTGTTGCCATGGGCTCTTGCCTTTAAAAACATGAGTGCATAATGTCCACATGTTTGACTATCTATTGCTTGAAGGGACACCATTTCTTTCCATTACGCTAACCGTGCTTGCAACTTGGGATTTTTGTATGTTGATAACGGTAAACCATAACCGTCAAAGACTTCACACACCCCTGAACGCGTTCAAATAGCTAACCAATGTTCTCCTGGTTCGCCGGCTGGATCCTTGTTGACAATGTAGGCATCTGAAAATTGTCTTCCCTTAGCGACGGAAGGTAACTTATCGGCTGGAAACATACCTCGAAACGAAATTCTTAACAATCGATGTTCTCGTGCTAAGACGTTAAGCACCGTATCACAGAGAGCCACAAACTCCATGACCTAGCGGTTGAGAGATAAAGGATGCCTCCGAACTGATCGATTTCATATAGATTTTCATATTCGCTCCAGATCACCACGGTAATATTATGATCCACAGCTCGCCGGAAGTCAATCTCATACCTCACATTGCCTGTCTGTCTAGGATTTCTTTAATGAGGGTCAACGACCTCGCCTGGGACATTGTTGAACACGTATAGGGTACAAGTTTTACCTTGTCCCCAATCACCAGGAAGAATCATCGCTGGTTTGTATCCTAGCAAATCTTCTGCTTGCGTATTACCTGCCATTTCTAAGGCTCTGTAAGGGTATTCCTCCCCATCCACAGTTTGACGGACACGGGTCACTCCAAACTTTTCATAGGCAAAGCAGTAGCAGTTGAGTGTACCATTGCAGTTTTTAGAATTCATGAGTCCAATCACGACTTTGTCATGAACACGTCCGACAAAGACATTATCTCGTTCCCATCTGGTACTTTTTCCTTCAAAGAAAAAGGTCCGGATTTCACTTCTCACCACTGGATACTTGACACGTTTGGTTTTACTGAGTGCTCTTTCTATTTGCAATCGGGCATACACACTAGCATTGAGAGTCACTTTTACCATGCAAGTGACAAAAATGTCATCATCAGCTAAGGTAGGAATCTTTTTGTTCACACTGGTGGTGGTGTCTGGTGTTCCAAAGAGGAACATGTTACTCTCATTCAGAAATAGCTCCAGATAAATTTGAATTCCTGGTAATAGACATTTGCCTGTTTTAAACACAGCCAGATGAGGTTTGATCATAAAGGTATGGTGCACTTTGTCTAACAATCGACTAGTGGGTTCTTTGAGTCCTGTCTCGCCTGTCCATGCTCCTGGATTGGGTTCATCGTTATTAGTAGCATCGGTAGGAGTCAACTCTTCTTGGACATTGACTTCATTCACCCAGCTTTGAGGGTCTAAGAGAGTATCTCTTTCTTGACGATTATAGTTGAGTAGTGTTTCTTTGTAAGCTTTGTGATGGTATGCATTACTTTGTTCACTCATCAGTACACCATTGTAATGTACATTCATTTGATTGAACAAGGTATGTCCACAATTGTTAGTGCAATAGACATATTTTGTCAAGTTGACTGTTGAAGCTGCCCCTTCTGAATTAGACACACCTCTTGTCCCAGCTGTATAGAGACGAACTTTGATTTCCAACTTGGCTTCATTCAAATCATAAAATCATCACTAGCAGGTACCGTAAACAAAATAAGCCGTTTTCCGGTGGTAGCAGCTTTGAAGGATACCCATCGATAGTCTATATCAGGAATATCAAAAAGGTTCAACGACATCTTCACAATGAAATAACATCATGCTCGTTTTAATCTCCTTTTATACTTACGGCCTTTGGTCATCCAGGGGTACACTACTGGATTTCTAACCATTCCTTTTAAAAAGGAACCTCCTTTTTGTCTTTTCGAGCCATCCATGTTTTAAATCCATAGGGTAACGGTAATCCTAACCCTTGAGCAAAACTTCCTTCTCGTTGATAAGACGATTGATATCGTCCTATAGCACGTTGATACTTTAATCGCGATTGTGTTTTAAGTCCGTCCCATCTTGACTTACACACCAAAAATATCACGAACTCGTTTGACTTTCTTTTTATAGCTGTGTTTCACTGCTGCTTTAGCAATGGCTCTCGTGGCAGCTGGTAATTTACGTTTTAATCCTTTTTTTAAACATTTGTCTTGAGGAGCTTAAGGCATCTTGTAAGGAAGCCCCTTTTTCATAGGATTGAAGTCCATGCCCAATAGATTTAACAAGTGAGGTACCTGCTAATTTTACCAATTTTCGTGTTAATCCCTGTCCTCGCATGGACGGGGTATGATACCTTGTGAGAGATCGGTTCAACATTGTTCTCGTGAATAATGAGGCTACAGTGACAAGGTTGTACTTTTATACTCGTCGAAATTCTAAAGTGACTATAGTTTTTCCAGGGGGTAAAATGGACAGAGGTTCGTCAGGAGTTGCAATTTCCACTTCAATCACTTCTAAACGATTACTCCTTAGTTTAATCCATTCATGATGGAACGGTTGCACTTTTCTCAACAAGGGATGTTTTTGTGCCCCCACCACAATGGATTCTACCATATCTGAATAGATCAATAATGTTTGTTTAGGGGGTCCGACCAAGGAATTGAAGGTGGTATTAAGATTAATAAATCGCCATTGCACACGTCGGGCTAAATGAACAAACAAGCCTGAGGAACTTCCGCGGATAGTGACATTAAATAACTCTGTGGTTCCAATAAGATCTTGAGGTTTGATCCCTAAATAATGATCTCCTAACCATGGATAAATGGTGTTGGTCTTGGTCAGAACGCTGGAACTAGTATAACTGACTTGTGGTAATTCATATTCAAGATTAGGCCCTAAATGATACTGGTTGTTTTTATCGTCTTTAATCAACCCAAACTGTAGAGCAAAATCCAGTTGAATAGCAAAGGTCGATGAGGGGATTAATTCATTGGATAAATCAATGGCACACACATCTTCTTTAGGTACTGCTTTTGAAACAAGATCCTCTTGTTCCCATTCAAAGGAGTGTTTCCAATTCTTTTTTTAAAGACATTGTGGCTGTATCATTTTTTGATGTTTTTCATGCATCAGAGGTAGTACTAACACATTCATTTACTTTTCGCAATAAAATTGCAAAACATTTTTGTTTTTAACGTTTTATTCCATCGTACTACCACGGTTGCATGAGGGTCTCCATGCGTGGAAAAATGACGCACATCCTGTTTGTCGAAAAAGACCTGAACGCTTGAGTTATTGAACTCAGTTGCAGCGTCTGTTTTTACGGTCATGGGATGTCGAGGAGCTGCTCGTTTCTATAACTTTTCTAAGGCAGCGGTGACTTGTTGAGCACTTTTACTTTCTAAGGGTTCGCCCCAAGAGTACTTGGAAAACACATGACTGTGAGTAAGTATTTGGTGCCTTTATTCCATTTGGCTAATTTTTGAAGGTCGATCAGGTCTATGTCCCATTGCTGATCTATCCCAAACGCCAAGGTAGGTAAGGTAGGAAAATGGTTTCGTCGAGGTTTGTGTAACGTATAACTCAATTGCTGTTGAATAAGTTGTCTAGCTTTCGTCTTGGACAATCCATGGGCTTTGGCAAACGGTTCCACACCACCCAAAGATCCAGTGTTTGGAAGGATCAGTATAGTCTTCCACTAATTTGTCGGACATGATACCGTAACCACTGTCCCAGAAGAAGCAAGAACGAATACCTCCACTGAGGATACTTTCTCTTTAAATAGCGCCAAACTCTCTCCCCCTGAGTGGGAAAATGTATTTGCACGATGTACTCTGCATATCGACCCCAGGAAGGATTTTTTTATATTATGTAAATAAACAAAGGCACGGGAGGGCACATGTCATTAGAAATAACGGAATCCACACACACTTTGCGACAGATCCAGGCAGTTCTTTGCCAATGCCACGTACAAAGAGTCTTACACAACAGTGAAGTCATGTTGGAATGATGTAGACCAAGAGTTGCTGAGTTGATTTAAACTGCAATGCAATAAGGACAGGGAGAACATTCAATGGTGTCCCCTGGTTGTTTACCATCCAAATAAGAACGGCAGGAGGAACACAACATTTGATAACGTAAATGCTTATTATCCAATCTTAAAGCTTGTAGTTCCCCTTTCATAGTATCCATCAGTTGTTCTTTTCTTTGTAAGGTAGCTCGTGTTCGTTCTAATTGGTCTTTACATTGGTACCATAATTAAGTCATCTCCAACAACGCTTTGGCTGACATGAAACTTACTAACGACATACTCATACTAACGACATGAAACTTACAATGAAGTGGGATCACTTCTGGCAAACAAAAGCAATAAACAGTCCTTCATTAATATGCTTAGTCGTTATCTTCAGCAGGCCAATTACCAAGTCTACCACTCGACAGCTGATGCTGATTTGCTTATAGTAAACAAAGGTGTGAAAAGTTCAAGAACAATGGACACCGTGCTGGAAGGGAATGACACTGATCTTCTTACTCTGCTTTGTTAGCTTGCAAAGTTAGATGTATCCGACGTTTTTTTCCTACCAGAATCAAAAGCAAATCCAAGTGTCGATTCTGGGATATATAATCAGTGAAGGAAAAGTCTGGCCGAGAGATTTGTCGTCACATTCTTTTTATCCATGCTATCAGTGGATGCGACACGACCTCTGGATTGTATGGAAGTAGCAAAGGTCTTCCACTAAAGAAATTTGTCAGCGACACCCACTTCCGTGAACACGTCAAGGTGTTTGACAGTCTTCCAGGGTCAAAGGAAGAAATTGTCAAGGTGGTGAACAATTCATTGTTTGTCTTTACAAAGGGAGGCCTGGAGAAGGGCTTGATGGATTACGATTTCGTCGCTATTATGAAAAGGTGTCCACTGGTACTTCCCAGATTCACCCTCGAAGCCTAACTCCTACTTCTGCTGCTGCATCATACCCCAGTATCAGAGTCTACCACCAACAGCTTATCCAGTGGAAGGGCGAAGAATAACAAATACCTGCTGTAAAATGGAGTTGGATATTAAATGATAGACAACTGGTTGGAATCCTTTCTTTGGCCCACGCTCGTGACATGCTGAGCCTATGACCGTGATGGGCTCCTGATTTTCACATGGTCTTAAGTGCATGTTCGGTTGCCTGTGGACACTGTCGAGGCACAAGTTGCACCAATGCTTCAGCACTTCAACTCGATTTCAATGAGGAGGTAGATGAAGATGAAGATGGTTGAAGGTTTAAAGTCACTAACATGTTTTTTTAACTTTTGGAAATTTGCCTATCAAAGTTTCGATCAGAAAAATCTAATTAATGACTCAGAATAGGGTTTTTTCTATCGCAAAATAAATCAGCCTCGTTTTCATGTAACTGATTCAGGCTGTTATAATTGAACTGATTTTAAGTGTCTTCCCATACATAGATTTTCCTAGACTTTTAATATGTATACTCAAGACTAATATGTATACCAAAACTATCCCAGAACCGAAATTTCCAAGCCCTAATTTCCGAAAAAAAGTTTCAATGGATCAGGACTCTCGGGAAAACAAAACTAACTGTTTCCCTCGGGATCTGACATTAAGTGTGTAATCCTTCAAGGAAAAATTTCAGGGCTCGGAAATTAGAGCTTGGAAATTTCGGTTCTGGGATTTTTTTTTGGTTTCGTCGGGAATCCGACAAATCTGTGATGGTGAGACTGCAGGGTCAAAAAATTGAGACTGTCAGTTCATTCAATAACATTTCCGACAAAATGTAAGTTAGGTATGAATGAAAAAATTGAGATTGTCTGCTCTTTCAATGGCCTACCTATAACATATTGGTTAGAGACAGAATTTTTTGTACACAAATCAGGAAAAATCGCTGTCATGTTTAAGTAACGCAATCAAGTCTAAAATGGCCCTTTTACGTGACACGTGACATGTCGAGAAAGCGGGAATCTCGTTGTAGCTTGCATGTCCTAGTTCCACTGCGGAATGACGTCAAAAAACAAGGTATAGACAAACAAATTGTAGACTTAATTATATACTAGACAGGATAGATATTCAGAGTAGACTTTGCAAACTTCGCTGTTTCGGAATAAGAACCTGACCCAAATCTTTACATTGGCAAAGCGAGTTCAAATACTGCACCTGAAGGCCAGGATAAGAGTTCTTAAGTCATGGCTGACATAATGGAGTGAAACTTGCCACCTAATGTGTATAAAGCATCTATGTATCTCTGTGGGACATTTGTTGGAGGATTGATTTGTGTCGCGCTGAAGCTCTTGATTGTCAAGTCAGAAAGGTCAAATTACGCTCAAGTGCTCCGTGAATTTCCCGTTCTCAAAAATTCATTTCACATGTCGCCCAGAGTTTTGAAAGCATATTTTAAAAGCTTAATGAACTTAATGAACTCAGTCTCAACACTGGTCAGAGTCGCAACACTCTTTGGAATCACAACGGTTGTAACACTTACAACACTTGTCTGAGTCACGGAGCTCCTCTGAATCCCCACACTCGTCAAAGGCACAACACACAT